CGAGCCGGAGAGAAGTTAGGCATTGTGGGAAGGACAGGATCTGGTAAGACTCGATTGTTTTTACTCCAAACATTTCTGTTTTATGCTTTTTAAAGACAGATTTAGTAGAACAGAAATTAACCTGAATTCCAATCTGCAGGTTTTTTTAAATGAATACCAATCTGCAGGATTTTTACATGAATACCAATCTGCAGGTTTTTTAAATGAATACCAATCTGTAGCGTTTTTACATGAATACCAATCTATGGGGTTTTACATGAATACCAATCTGCAGGTTTTTTTACATGAATACCAATCTGAGAAATAACAAGGAGCCACCAGGAAAATAAACAGGAACGTAGACAAAGGGAGGATGTAAGACAAGAACTTCAAATTAAAACAGGAAACACTAAAGACTGGTTGCAGAATTAAAACAAGGGCAACTGGTTAAAGAAGAGATGACACAAAAGGCAATGAATAATAAATAAGAAAGCAAACATTAGGTATGGGAAATGCACGCAGGGGGAATTTAGAAAAGACAAACTAAAACAGAGCAACAAAACAAGGAATAAAGTATGCAAACAAGAGTGAACCATGGCAGAGAACCAAAAACCTTAATGGTTGTAATCTTGAGATAATGAAAACAAAGAAGTGGAGACATTTACCCTTTATCAAAGAATAAGGAATCTTAATGTGTACAATCTTTGACAGCCCTGTGTCTGGGCAACACCTGTTGGATTAATATACCCAGGTGTTCTGCAGAAACACGCTCCTCTGTAAACTATTAGGGATACTGTGCTGAGGTAGACTTTGCTTTTTGTCTGTAGGGAAGTCTTCTATAGGTGTTGCTCTATTCAGGCTTGTGGAGCCGGCAGCAGGAACCATTTTGATAGATGGAGTGGATATCATGTCCATTGGTCTGCAGGATCTGCGCAGTAAATTGTCAATCATCCCACAAGATCCTGTGCTGTTTATTGGCACAGTCAGGTAAGCGCAGCTAACATGTTACTCTGCAGAGCTTTACACACACACTCACACACACACACACACACACACACACACACCCACACATCAAGTCACAGAGATAAAGGGTGTGTTTGCCTGCAGGTACAACCTCGACCCCTTCAATAACTACACAGATGAGGAGATCTGGGCAGTTCTGGAGAAGACCTACATGAAGGATTCAGTCAGTATATACAACACATGAACACAGATAGTGGTGTAGTGCAGGCTTTACGCAGGTATACAGCGTTAACTTTGAATCCCCTGCTTTCAGTTATGCGTGATGGATGGACCAAACTATGAACAGTGCCCTTCTCATGGAGTGTCAAGATAAAAAGGAATGATTTGTTTCATCAAAATAAAACATTTCTTCTTCAGATCGTTCGACTGGAGGGAAAACTGAAGGCTCAGGTTCTGGAGAATGGAGAGAACTTCTCTGTTGGAGAAAGGCAGCTTATGTGTATGGCTAGAGCCCTACTCCGCAACTCCAAGGTTTGTACATGGATTCCACCCTAATCCTGAGATATTTTTACTTTCCTTTATAACTGCTTTTTCCACAAAAACCTAAAAATTGCTGCAACTGTCTTCAGTGCTGCAACTGTCAGTTTGAGGAATAATAAAAAGGAACTGTACCCAAGTGCAGATGAAATGCAGATCAAAGCGGAAATATTTCTTAAACAAAAAGTCTACTTCTTGTACCTCTTTAAATGTCCAAACTGAAAAAATCCACCAAAGATCAAAACACAGGAAGCCACGAGGAAAACACTGGAAAGAAGACAACTCACACCGACATGGAGGATACAACTGACATAGACCAACACTGACAATGAAGGGTAATCAACATGGAGGGTAACACACAGAGGCAGAGAGAAACACCAAAGACACAAAGAACTCAACTTAACATAACAATACTCACTCGTACAGAGACACCCAAGAATAAGAAATTACAAAATAAAACAGGAAACACTAAAGACTAAACTAGGAAACATTAAGATAAATAAACATACAAAACAATCAGATAGACAATTACCAAATAAGACATAAAATACCAACTAAGCAACAACACAAGGAATTAACGAACTAAACATGTAAACCAGCAACACCAATAAAACTGCTTCTGATTTTCTCCATTTTACATCACCTGCCTCCCCACTTCCTGTGTCTATGGCTGACTACTGTGTGTGGAGAGTTAACTCTGTCATCAAATCAACACTTACCAAGTGTCTTGTGCTGTCCTACCATTTATTCAGGACCATTTCATGACCCTGATGAAGGCCAAACATGTTGGTCTAATAAAGTTCATCTTAATACTACAAGTGTTGCTGGAGCTTTTTGACCTCTTCATTCGTGATAATTTACCAGCTACCCTGTGTCAACTTAGCTTTCTACCTTCCATGTCCATCTCTTGGACTGCTTTCATTGTCCGTCCTGTTGTCCATCAGATCATTCTCTTGGACGAGGCGACTGCTTCCATCGATTCGGAGACAGATTCTTTGATCCAGACAACAATTAAAGAAGCCTTCCAGGACTGCACCATGCTTACCATCGCCCATCGCATCAACACTGTGGTAGACGCAGATCGCATCCTGGTCATGGACAACGGAGAGGTAAAAAAAAAAGGAACACAGGAAGATGACATTTTGATGACCCTTAAACTGACTGTATCCATCGTGTCTGACAGGTGGCAGAGTTAGATCATCCAGATGTGCTGAAACAAAGACCAGACTCTTTGTTCTCCTCCCTCTTGAACGCTGCCAACACTGTGAACAGCTGAAGCTCCACCTGAAGCTCCACCTGGGTTAGCACAGCCACAGCATCACAAACCCCAGGATAACTGAGACTCACAGCCTGTTGTTGTATGTTGGATGAACGAGCTGCAGACGGAGAGATGGGCTGAAAAATACAACGTTACTTTAGATAGATAATTTCTCTCACATATGTACTTTGAGAATGTTGTTTGATGATGTGTATTTAAAAAACAATATTTATTGATTTATTTGTGACTGTTTTCTTCCACTTTAGAAAAAACACGATAACCTTTGAATGTGAGCTTCTGATTTGTCACAACTTTGTAGAGAAAATATGAATCACTGAATAAAAACTTGTTGCTGCTGTCATAAAGACTGGAATACAA